GCATTGCCTATCGTTCATAAGTTTGGTCTTTTAAGCCAAATCTTATAGTCCTCCCCACCCTGTCGGTTGTGGGACTTAAACTCTGGGCTTTGGCACCTGACCCTGAGGTCTTCAGTTCAAGACAAGCACTCTACCACTTGAGCCACAGTGCCAGCTCTGGTTTGCTGGTGGTTAACTAGAGATAAGAGTCTCATGAACTTTCCTGCCTGGGCTTGCTTTGATCTGTGATCCTCAGATCTCAGCTTCCTGAGTAGCTGGGATTACAGCGGTGAGCCACTGGTGCCCAGCCTTGTAGCTTTAGTATTTTGTTTCTTTTAGTTGTTGGTTTGAACCCAGGGCCTAGGTGCTGTTCCTGAGCTCTTTTGCTCCAGGTTAGTGTTTTCCACTCTGAGCCACAGCACCACTTCCAGTTTTCTGGTGGTTAACTGGAGATGAGAGTCTTACAGATTTTCCTGCTAGGGCTGACTTTGAACCATGCTCCTCTCAGATCTGACTCCCGAGTAGCTAGGATTACAGGTCTGAGCCACCAGTGCCCTGCTTATCTTTTCTATTTCATCATTCTTTTTGTTTTCTCCTGATATTTTTGTTTTACTTGTCTTCAAGCCCTGGTCTCTCACTTTCCATTGGTTCTATCCTTCTGAATAGGCTTTCAAATGTATTTTTCACCTCTTAAGACTTCATCTCTTTTTGCCCTAGTTTCTGCATCTTTATGGAATTCCTTTTTCCTATCTTACATATACTTTATTTCATTTAGCTATTTTTTTTGGGGGGGGTCTCGTCGTGGGGCCTGAACTCTGGACCTGGGCGCTGTCTCTCAGCTCTTCAGCTCAAGGCTAGTGCTCTACCATTTGAGCTACAGTGCCACTTCTGCTTTTTTCTTTTTGCTTATGTGGTGCTGAGAAATCGAACCCAGGGCCTCATGCATGCATGGCAAGCGCTTTACCACTGAGCCACTTTCCCAGCCCTCATTTAGCTATTTTTCTGTATCTCTTTTGAGGTCTTTCAGTTATTTATCTGTATTCTCTTTGGCATCCTTTGACTAATTAATTGCATTTACTTCCATTTAGCTTTTCATCTGTATTCTCTTGGATTTCATCAAGGTGTTTGCTCATGTTCTTTTTCATCTCACTGATGATTCTTATCACCCTTTGAGCTGAACTACTTCACTAACATTTTGACTGCTAAGAGTTGTCATATTACTTTTTTAAATCCCTTGTGCTCCTACGGTTTGGGGGTTTAGTCCTCTGAAGTCTTTCTATTGGGTTATTTTTTATGATCTGGCTGGCTGGGTTGATGTACCATTCCTCACCACTGATGTGGAAATGTAACTCCTGAGTTACATGACAAATTCTTGTTCAACCAACCAGGTATTTTCATAAAGCAAAATTCACTAACAATATTACCTATATAACCAACCACATTACTTTTTTTGCTGGTCATGGGCTTGAATTCTGGGCCTGAGCACTGTGTCCCTCAGCTGTTCAGCTCAAGGCTAGCATTCTACCACTTGAGCCACAGTGCCATTTCTGGTTTTCTGGTGGTTTATTGGAGATGAGTCTCACAGACTTCTTGTTAGGCCTGGCTTTGAACGATGGTCCTCTCAGATATCAGCCTCCTGAGTAGCTAGAATTACAGAGTGTGCCACTGGTGTCCAGCATCTTATTTTTTATTTTTATTGGCCATGGGGCTTGAATTTAGGGCCTGGGTGCTGTCCCTGAACTCCTCATCTTAAGGATCGTGCTCTACCACTTCAAGCCACAGCAACACTTCTGGTTTTGTCGAGGTTAACTGGAGATAAGAGTCTCAGGGACTTTCCTACCTGGGCTGGCTTTGAACCAAGATCCTCAGATCTCAGCTTCCTCAATACTGCAGGCACTGGGCTAAAACCTGTTTGTATGAGAATTAAAAACTAAGTAGTAAAAATAAGGAAGGTGAAGGAATAAGGAACCTAGGGAGAGAAGTGGAATGTGAAGGCTGCAGGAACACCAAATGCCATATGTGGGAATGTAGTGTGATAATGGAGAAGGCTGATATCATCAGGGATTGCTAAGGGTTGAAGGCGAAGCATAAAAAAGAGGTAGAATAAACCAGCAGTAGAACAGATTTTTCTTCCTTGTTGAGGAGAGTGAATGTCGGCTGGCTCTGTCAGCAAAGTAGATGCACTTTTCCAATCTGTGCATCCTGTCAGGTCCTGGATTGAGCAGGACCAGCCTGGGCATGGTGCATTGTGGGTTGTGGCCAGCTAGTAGGTAGTGAGACAGGTCCTGCACAGCAGTGGGAATATTCCTTGAAGCTCATCTATTCTGCCAGGATTCCATTGGAGGTGCCAGATTTTAGGGGGGGGGTGAGGGGACCCCCTCTCCCCCATGGCAGTTGGTAGATCAGAATGTACTCTGCTACCCTCCAAGCCTCCATTCTGCCCTCATCTGGAGATTCAGTGTTTGCCTTGGCTTCTCTATGGTGAGCTTTCTCACCTAGGCCTTCAGTTTAATGTTGCCTTCCCTATGTTAAGGACAAACAGCTCCTGCCTCCAGATTCTGTGCTCTAGCTTCATCTTGATTTAGTCTTGGAGTAAAGACCCAGACCCCAGAGACTTAGTCTAGCCAGCAGCTTCCTGCATACTTCGTTTGTGTTGGTGACAGGGACTCAGATACCCTGAGGGAGGGGTGACTTCATCCACCCACAGGTCTGAAGGCAGGCTTTTAATCAGCTTAGCCAAAACCTCTCTTGGGAACCAAACTTTTTCAGCACATGCTGGGCTTGGCTTGGCTGGGCAGTGTTCTCAATGGGTAACACTGGCTACCTGGGAATTTGGCAGCTAAACCCAGTAGCTGGTCTGAGGCCAGATGTGGGGACCTGCTCAGCCCCCAACTGGTTGGTCCAATGGCTTGCTTCGCAGCCGGTGCTTTGCCCTGGGGTGGCGAGGCACAAGTGCCAATCAGAAGCTAATCAGTAACCTAACCAGGTTGGTGCCATGTACCTACCCATGTGACAGTGTCTGTTCACAGGGTGTCCAGAAGGGTGGTTCTTGCCAGAAGTAGACAAAAGAGAATAAGAAATAACATACACAAATACAAATAAAAATGAAATTAGGTTCTTGGATGGAATAGCTATGCCTGAAGCTTACAGCTTCCTTTGAGCAAGTTTCATTTTATGATTTGATATTAGGGCTTGAACTCAGGGCCTCTCACTGTTGCTTGGCTTATCAGTTTAAGGCTGGCACTCTACCACTTGGGCCACAGTTCCACTTCCTGAGAAAAGCCTTTTGTGCTCTGGCTGGTTTCAAATGTCAATCCTCAGTGGGTACCATTATAAGTGTGAGCCACCACTGCCCTGTTCCTTTTAGAAATTTAGTGTCCCAGTTCTGTCTGGATACTGACTGTCTTTTCTCCAGTGTTTTCTGCTACCTTACCAATTACATACTTCTTGATGCAGCTTCAGATCTGGCTCATGGGCACACAAGGAACTAGTACTGGTCCGCAGCCTTGCCAAGGGTCCTCTCAGAGGATTTTACCTGACAGGTATTACTGGGCACTGTATTCCATCTGAAATGGGTCCTGAGGCACTTTAGCACTCAAGAATTTTGGTAATAGCTACTGCCAGTGCCTTTGCTCTGGGAAGCTGTGGCAGGGAGAGCCAAGAGTGAGGCCACCCTGGGCTACATAGCAATACCCTGTGTATAAACAAATAAACATCAAATAAATGAACCCAGTCTCAAGAGACTGAGATATGATTATTGAGATTAGCATTACAGTAAGAAGAGAGCAAAGCTGCCTGCCTTCCAGTTTAAAATGTAATAGAGGGGGCTGGGAAGGTAGCTCAGTGGTAGAGCGCTTGCCTTGTATGCATGAGGCCCTGGGTTCGATTCCTCAGCACCACATAAGCAAAAAGAAAAAAACCAGAAGTGGTGCTCTACCACTTGAGCTAAGTGGTAGAGCGCTAGCCTTGAGCTGAAGAGCTGAGGGACAGCGTCCAGGCCCAGAGTTCAGGCCCCACAACCGGACCCCCCAAAAAAGAAATGTAATAGAGGAGGGCAGAGAAAAGTGGTAATTACCAAGAGAAGTATGGGGTGAAAGGGACTAGGAGTGATTGAGCAAGGCTTCTGCTTATAAAGTGAGAAGCCTCTCTTCCCAAGCTGTGTGCTCCAGGTAGAAAAAAAAATAGCACATGCATAAAGCCCAAGGCAGCAGGGATTCTGGGCTTGTTAGAAGCCCATCCTGGAGCCAGTGTGGCTGGAGAGGCGCAAACGATGGGGGATGGGAGATAAGAAACTTTTAAAGGGGCCTAGGCCACACACAGAAATATATGCATATTTTTCAAATTTTGTTTCTTATATGCCTACGTCCTTAAAAGACTGAGAAATGAACACGTGGCTCAAGTGGTACAGCACTCAGTGAGTGAAAAAGGTAGGGAAGAGCAGGCGTTCCTGAGTGCAGGCCTCCATACCTGCCAGAAAACAAAACAAAAAAGTGTGGTGGTGTGGCCCATCACTGCAACACTGGGGGTTTCAGTCAGGAGAACTGGTGTGTTTATTTATTGCCTATCTATTGTCCTAGGGCCTGAACTCTGGGCCTGGGGGCTGTCCCTCAGCTCTTCAGCTCAAGGCTAGCGCTCTACCACTTGAGCCACAGCACCACTTCGGGCTTTTTTCTTTTTACTTATGTGGTGCTGAGGAATCGAACCCAGGGCTTCATACTGAACCACCTTCCCAGCCCCGGGATTTTTAACCTTAGAAAGGAAGTCTAGGCCGGCCCGGCCCGCCTCGCGGCCCTTACCTCTGCCCCTCCAGGCCGGAGCCGAGGCGCTCTCCTCTTGCTCGCCTCGCGGGTCTTGCGCGGGCTCTCTGAGGGGAGCTGCCGGCCAGCTCCGCGCGAGGCCCCGCGGCTCCACGCCCTCCCCGCCTCGTCCGGGTGACGCCCGTCCTGGGCGCCCCGCACGGCTCCTTGGGCAGCTGCGTTCTGCGCGTGGCCAGGTGCGAGAGGCGTCTTCAGAAGCTAAAGATGGCTGTCGGGAGGTCCTTCCTCCCGGGCTCCCCCAGCCCATCCCGGGCAGACCGCTACTCCGGGGGGGGTCCCCGCCGGCCGGGGGTCCCCCACCCCGCCACTCTCCCACCCTTCTCGCGGCTCAAAGACCGCCTGGCGCCAGGGGCTTCAGGCCTAAGCGGCTCCCCGAGCGCAACGACGCGACGCACAGACGCGACGCGACGCGGCGAGCGCGCCGCCGCAACCAGCCTCCGGGACGGTATGTCCGAACCGCGTCCGCGCCTGCGCGCCGAGCCCCCGGGCCCCGA